TCCTCCACAACTAGATTGAAGAACAAAACGACAGCAACTTGTCTGTTCCCCTTCCCCCAATTCCCCAGCTCTGTTCCCATCCCCCCAATTCCCCAATAAAAATCTCTAAAAAAAAAATAAATAAAAAATAAATAAATAAATAAATAAAAAACCTTTAAAAAAAAAAAAAGAGGAAGACACAGGAAGATTAGCTAAAAATCTGTTTGAGAAGCAGGAGAGCCCCAGGTCCTTTCCACCTCTACGGCAGGAGGAGTACACCCCTCCACCCTAGAAGGTTTGTGCTCAGGAAAGGCTAAACCACTGAGTCACTGGCTTCAGTGACACTACACGCTAGGCCACTGTTCCAGGCTCTGAAGGAATAGCAGTAAACAAAATAGATAAAAACCCCTGCTGTCATAAAGCTTACACTCTACTGAGATAAATGAAAGATCCACACTAAGGAATTCCACAATGCTAGAGACAAAGAGAAAAATCCTAAAAGATTAAACAGAGAACAAAACAGGATTATGAATCAGATTGACATAGGACTTCTCGACAGTAACACTGGAAGCTGGAAGACCATAGAGCAACGCCTTCAAAATACTAAGTAAAAATGATTCCCAACCTTGAATCCTGTACCTGGCCAAACTATCAATGTGATGAAAGGGCAGAATAATGACATTTGCAGCCTTAAAATGTTTACCTTCCTTGTACTCTTTCTTAGGAAGCTCCTGGAGGGTATGATCTATTAATAAGGGACTAAACCAGGAAATAGGAAGTTATAAAACCTAGGAAATGGGTTTGCCAGTGCTGGTTGCTTATCAAGCCAGGAGAGCAACCAGTGCAGCCTGGGATAGCAGGACGAAGGTCTCCTAGAGAGATATCTCCAAGCAGATAATGAAAGTATTAGATTAGTTGCTGGGTTTGAACATGTTGAGAAGGGATTTGTTTTTATGGAAAAGTTTAGGGATCGATTAATGATAGGTACATAGAATATTGACAAAATATAATTATTAACTCTAGGAGGAAAAAATAAAATGTGTTTGAAATAAAATATAATCTGTGTATATAGTACATGGCTCAACTATGAATATTCACATAGCGTAAGTAAGTAAGTGTGTGTGTGTGTGTGTGTGTGTGTGTGTGTGTGTGTGTAAAGGGGGGGTGTAAGAAGATTCAACCCTTAATTTTCACATTAGGAAGGCAATTGATAATATCTAAACCTGGAAAATAAAACAAATAATAGTAAAGCAAGATATTTAGAAATATGGAGGCAAATCCCAGAAGAAACAGCTTAAAAACATTGAAAGTAGGGCATTAGTTGGGCAGTGGGGAAGCGTAGGACAGGGGACTGCTCTTTTCCTCATTATAAATTCATGCAGGACAACTTTTCTAAAAAAACTGGGATATAATATACATACAGTAGAATGTATATAAACAAAAATCTGTAAATATTTTGTTTATAAATACAAACCCATAAAAATTAAAACAGATTTAGGTATATAATTAAGTGAATTTTGACTACTTGTTTTTTAAAACTATGTTCACATATTACTTTAATAAAAATAAATGTCACACTCATCTGAGATTTTTTTCAGAAAGGATACTGTGAAATGAGTAAGAAGCCCTGGGATGCCCTGGTGAGTTTTTGCAGGAGCTTCCGTGGCCAGAAGAAGGGACCATTATTTCAACTGGCCCAAGCCAGTTTATATTGGGAACTCCAGTACAGGCATTTTCCCCAGTTTGTGGGCTATATATTTTTAAAATACTCTTTACCTTCTTCCATTTTTGCATTAGAAATGAGCATCTGTCTCAAATGCTTGAGGAGGCCAGCCCAAGTAAACGTACTATATGCCAGTGAGTTCTCAGACATTTGAGGAATGTTACGAACACCCAGCATCTTGAATTCAGGATGGGGAACTAAATTCTCCATTAAGTCTCCTGTAAAGAAAAAAAAAATCTTAACTAAATTTTTTAATTCCACATTGTTCCCACTGGCTTATGCACAACCATGATTTGATGGTCTTTGGTTGTTATCTCCTCCAGGGCCAGAATTCCTTCAATTTTTAAATGTAAATAAAATTTCAGAGACAATGTCTATTACAGACTCTGCATTTGCTTCATTTTGGCACCTATTTGAGCATGAATGAGAATCCAGACTTTGCCAAAAAGGAAACAAGAATTTACAAGCTAAGTAACTGGAAATATGAATGCAATATTTAGTTAAACCCCAGGAAAACAAGGTAAGCATGAGCATTAATATGTTTTTATTGTCATTCTGTGTTCCCTAAATAGTCCTTTAGAAATTTTCCTAGATCTTATATTTCTTTTATCTAGTTAAATGATAATCAGAATCTGTTAACATCAAATCTACTAGGGACGGAGACAGGATGAGTAATTCCTGTAGACAGGGATATGCCTATCTTTAGAAACCTGCATTTGGAGCACAGATTTCCCTCTGGTCTTGATGTGCAGTGCTTCCTTCAGCCACAGGGCCTTTGCACATGGCTAGTCCCTCCACGTGCTATTCCCTTCTCCCTCCCTCTGTTTAGCCAATGCCAAGTCCTCATCCATCTCTTGGCTCAACTGTTACTTCCTCAGGGCAGCCTTCTCTCTGCCCCTTCAGCCTCAGTCAGGTTCTTCCATGACACATTCTCTTAGAATTGTACTCCTTTCTTTCAGAGCATTTGACTCAGTTTTTAGTTATACATTCTTCGTGTAATTATTTGTTTAATGTCTCTTTTTTGCAGTGGACACAATGTCTGCAGTGGTTCCCCACTGGATCCCCAATATTTAGCATAGTACCTGGCACATAGCAGGAAGTTAATCAATAGTAGTTGAATGAACAGAAGTGCAATGTGCTAAGTACTGTGGGAGGTGCAGAAATTAACAAGACACCTGTCTCCAAGAAAAGCTGCAAAGTCGTGGGGACTACAAAACATGCACATGACAGAAACCCTCTCTAAAGAAACACAACGGAGCTCATTACAGTGGGAGGGAGACTTTCCTTTGATTGCATATCCTTTTGTGTTCCTTAAATGCGTGTATTACTTTTAAAGATAAGCAAACACACTTAAAGAAATCATAAAGGCAAAAAAAGACATAAAAGAGATACACAATACCACAGGAGTTCAGAGAACAGAGGGTTACTTTAGGTAACGGCCGCAATAGGAAAGCTTTATGGAAAAAACATCCCTTGAATTGGACTCTGGATGAATAAGGTTTCAAAAGAGGTGAAGAAAGAAAGGGGGAAGCAATTTCTAAGGAGAAGGAACACAAAGCAAAGAGACCAGGGCAGGAAAAGTACCAGAATAAAAACAACAACAGTGGAGGTAGGATGAAAAGTAGGCGGGGAGCCATGCAGAGGAGGCAATAGGTGATGATGCTAGGAAGTTAGGGTTCAGGGCATAATGTGGAGGACAGGCTAAGGAATTCTAACAAATCTGGCAGGTCACCCATGAGCCATGGAATGAGTGTGAGAGGACAAGGGTTAGATCTGAACACTGGGGAGGCTCATTTGGGATCAGTGTGTGAGATGGACCACAGGAAGAAGAGGCAGGCAACAGGAAGGAAAGCAGGATTGGGACCACCTTAAGACAGGAATGTCCTTAGTGATGTAAGCATCTGTTTTTATGCCAAAAAATAAAAGGAGACTAGAAAGAGGCTGGTTTGCCTTGTATTTGTATGCAGTATTAGTTGAGAGATATGGATACCCTGAACCCCAACGTTAGAGAGATACGGAAGTAGGGGAAGAATGCAGATGGCATAGATGGCACCTCCAGGTCTGAGCGTACTGATGAGGTATAAGGACAGTGGGGGAAATCAGGTGATAGGAATTGAGGGAGAGGGGGCAGGGGAGAGAAGAAAGGAAACACAGTGAATCCATTTAGAACATGCTCAATTTGAAGAAGCAGAAGGCAACTAAGAAAACTGGGACAGGTAACTATTTGGGAAAGAGATTAGACCGGGGGGATACAGATGATGGCGTCATTTATGATTTGAATGGATAAGGCATCGCTTGCCAAATAAGATGAAAAAAACAATGGTGGGTTTCTTTATGGAATGATAAAAATGATGGTTGTACAACTTTGTGAATATTTAAAAAAAACCACTTTAAATGGGTGAATTGTAAGGTATGTGAATTATATCTCAAAGTTTTTGTAAAAAACAAGAAGAGGGAGGTTCCTGAAGAATGGAGTCCGTGGGTATCCACCACTGTTTTGATAAATTTAGTAACTTCTCGAAACTTTTCATAGAGCTAAGCAGCTCTTTAAGGAAGGTTTTTGAGATGAGGGAGACCCGAGTGTAGCTTCAGGCAGAGGGGAGGAGCCAATGAAGAATAACTTTGAGGCTTTCAGCACATAAGACTTTCCTACAAATAACATACAGGAGGACAAGTACCTAATGGGTTTCTTCTGTAGTGAAATGAGCCTTCTCCAGTATACGTAGGCTGGAACACACTTCCCAGCTGGTGGGCGAGGACTTGATTTATATCGCGAAAGGAGATGTGCTTGATATTCATCAGCTTCGCACAGATCTTATGAACAGCATCATTCTCATGAACAAGGAGGGCGTCTGAAGATCGGTACAAGTGAGACAGAGTCAAAACGGAGTTGTAGTTCTGAACAATAACCTGGAGAAGAAAAGGTCAGAAATCAGAAAGGTGGGAGAGAACAGCGGTTCAGAGGGTAGATTTCAAGGGCATCCTGCCTGGGATCAAATCCTGGCTCTGTCATACTTTCTAGCTATATGATCTTGGACAAGTTATTTAGTCTATCTATGACGCAGTTTCCTCATTGTAAAATGGGAATAATAATTATACCCGTTTCCTAGAGTTGTAAAGGTTAATGATAGAATGCAAGTAAAGCACTTAGAACAGTGCCTTGTATATAGTAAGGGTTCAATAAATGGTGACCATTACTATCACATTTTCTTCCTACATAATTTACTATAGTGACTTATCTCACCTCTGTTTTATTATTTCTCCTACGAGGCTGGTCAACAAGAAATGGGCCTATATAGAAATTTCCTCATAATGGAGAGAAATGAAAATTCTTTGAAGGTTGGCAATGGCATAATGCCCCCCAACATAAGGTCAAGGTCCCTGCTTTACATACTGTAGACAGAAGGACTAACTCAGGAATGGGTTCCTAAGAGAAAATGCACAATTGTCTTCTTTGAAAATTTTAAAAACAAGGACACTTCATTTGTTTAGAAAAGTTTAAGCAAAGTTAAATGAATTGTTCATGCAACTACCATATTGTGTAATCACTCCTGACACAGTAACTTAGCATTTCCAAAGAAAGGGTCAGATCAGTCTTTTACCCACATTGATTTCAACTGCAAAGAATATAAAACGTAAAAATTTCAGTTCATACCTCACCGGTGCCATAAGGCCATATAATCTGATTCATTTTCAAAGAGCTGGAGTACTGATCCCGTAAATTCTGTGTAACAAAGGCTCCTAGTCCTGATCCTGTACCCCCAGCCATACTCATTATGATGAAAAAACCACTCAAAGAGTCACATTTCTCCACTTCCTTCCGGATTAGGTTCATTATAGATTCTTCATGCCTCGGTCCATGAACAGAGTAACTATGCAATGCAAAAGGAACAAATACACCTTTCAGTTTAACCAGAGAGATGCAATGCAGAGAGAAAGATACAGGATCAAGAAGGCTTTTTAACCCTACCAAAGTGAACTAACTCTCATGAAAGGCACACAATTTAAAATAGACAAGTTAAAGATATTTAACAGGTGGATAGGGCTGCTAAAAGAGTGAATTGACTGGGTACAGAAATTCTCTTTTATAGGCCATTCCTTTAGCTGTAGACTTCAATTATCAGGTAGTTCTGTAAGTCTATGGTACAACATAATATTCAATGTTCATAATGATACTCCTAAAGCAGTAGTTCTTGAACTTTGCTGCACATTACAATCACCTAAGGAAGCTCTGAAAAATCCCAACATCCAGGCATCATCCCAACCAATTAAATCAGAATTTCTCAAATTGAGCCCTAGGCAGTGAAATTTTCCAAAGAACCCCAGGAAATACTACTGCCTTGCTGTATCCCCTATTAGCTGAGATACCTGCCAGATAAAGATGTTATACTGATAATAAGTTAGTTGGCAGAACAACAGTGAAGAAGGGGAAAACCCTGCTGCAAGAGATCCTTGGTTTCATCATTATTTGGACCTGATGCATATACATATGTAAGATAGAATGAGTTTCTTCTGAGTGAAGTCACACCCTAAATTTTAAAACAGCAATTTCAAGATTATTTGCTCAGTATATCAACTTTTTAGTTGTAACTACACTATTTATTAATTGCCTATGTAGCTGTATCTCAATTGAAAAGCGTCATGAATTATTCTTACCCATATGCCCAGTTGTTTCCAGAACCTTGTTTTTGACAGAAGCCTGAATGCTGGCCATATTTCCATCGGCCAGACTCAGCAGCCTTTAATAGGGTTTGATTGATAACTTTAGGTTCCATGTCAACAAGCACAGCCCGAGCAACTGGAACTAGAGAGGGGAAAAAAAAAATCAAAAGGGGCCGGCCAAGTGGCTCGTTGGTTTAAGAGCTGGCTTGGGACGCCAGGGGGCCCCGGTTCGGATCCCACATATGAGGGCCAGTGACACTGCCCTCTACAGCTAAGATGCTGAACAACAGCTCAACCTGGAGCTGGGCTGCTGTGAGTCGCCGGGGATGGAGTAGGCTGCAGTCCCTGCTGCAGTGGGTTGCCATGGGCTACCGTGTTTAGCCAGCAACCAGCGAGAGTGGCCAGCAGCCACCATGAGCGGCCGTCCAGAAGCCAGCGACTGATCTGCCTCGCCCGGGAAGAGCGCAATGATGGTGCCAACTTGGGCCAGTGAAGCAACGTCCTCCACAACTAGACTGAAGAACAAAAGGACAGCAACTTGTCTGTTCCCCTTCTCCCAATTCCCCAGCGCTGTTCCCATCCCCCAATTCCCCAATTAAAAAAAAAATCTTAAAAAAAAAATCAAAAGAAAAAACTTTCAGTCTTATTTGGGTTAACATAGAGCATAAAGTCCTAGGTATGAAAAAAAAATCCAAAGGTTGAGGATAGAAAGATCTGTCATACTGCTTAGAAATTGAGGCGGGCAGCAGTAGGTATGTACGGATTGGTTTATAGTGCCTAGCATTCTGCTAAGCAGGATGAATCAGTGTGTGCTAAAATAATCACTGGGTCAGGTCTACAAACATCTGTTGAGTGCTTAGAACATGACGTGTACTGTGCTGGGAACACAGAGATAAAAACATCAATCCAGCCCTCGAAGGACTAGTGGGGCAAATGCAAGACATTGACACTTAATCACTTTATCAGGTGATATGACCCACAATGAATCCACACAAACAGAGTAGCATAGTCAGAGGTACAAAATACCCTGGGTACAACAAGCTGTTTGGGATTGTTGAAGCAGAAGATGGAGAAGGAGGGGGTAGAAGTGATGGGTAGGGATGGAAAGCAGGCAGGGCTCAGATCTTGAAAGTCCTTGTATGCAATCAAAGCTTGAAATTTATCTTTTAGGTAATGTGAAACCACTGAAAATGTTCAAGCAGGGGAGGAACAGTCGGATTTTTTTTTTTAAATACAGCAGTGTAGAGGACAGCTGTGATAGATACAAGAGTCTAGGCAGGGAAACTTGGAAGGAGTATCTTGAAACAGTCCAGGTGAGAGAAAACAAGAGCCAGGACTAAGGTCATTACAGTGAAGATGGAAAGGGGAGAAGAATTTCAAGAGATATGGAGGAGGAAAATTAAGCAGATGTCTGATGTTATGTAAGCAGTAGGAGCCCAAGTTTTAAAGGAAAGATAACGAATGATCTTGGGTATGTGGATGTTGAGTTTGAGGGACACATGGGAGATGCAGGTGAATATGTTCACTAATCAGTCTGCAGCTTGGAAGAGAAGTTAGGCTAGAGATGTGAGAGTCACCAGTGTAAAAGGTGTAGCAAATTATGAGAGTAATTGAAATTGCCTAGAGAGAACTATACAAGTGAGGGCAGAGGGAGAGCCTGAGGTGCAGCCACTGGAGAACAAAAGTTCAGACAGGAGGAGTTTCAAGGAGGGAGCTTATAGTTAATGTTATCAAATCCAGTAGGAAAGTTAAGTGAATTAAGGAAACAAAAACAGTCATTGGATCTGGTAATTAGGAGATCATTGGGAACTTTTCTCAGAGTAGCTTTAAGGGTAAAGAGTGGAAGCAGGATTATAGTTGGTTAAAGAGGGTTCTCCTTTGAGAATCTTAGATGAGAAGGCAGAGGTAAAGAGAAGAAAAAGCTATTGACAATAGATAAGTTTTATTTGTTTGTTTTTAGATTGGCAAGATCTGAGCATGCTCTTGTGCTGAGGGGAAGATGCCATGGTAAGGGCAAAGGTTGTTAACATAGAAACAAAGAGTCAAGAGCAAAGTTATTCCCTAGTAAGATGGGAAGGGATGGGGTTCAGACACCACCATCTGACCTTGGCCTGACCTTGAAGTGGTTGGTTATGTCAGAGTAAAGGAGAGGACTGTGGACCACACATACCTCCATTTTCCTCCTCACTGAAGAATCTTTCTTTGCAAGATGCTTGATATGCCTCATTCTCTCTTTTAGAGCAGAGTCCCTGGGGACAGTGTGAGTCACTAAATAAAGCATCAAACACTTCAAAACCAATCTGATTGCCACACTGACCAAGTTGAACTGTTACTATTGACATACTGAGGCCTGACAAAGTAGGCCTATTTCCTCAAAGAAGTTAGCAACCTGTAATGGAAAAAAAGATAGGCTTTGAGAACAACGACATTACTAATAAATAAAGAACAAATAAAATGCCATATGTTAACATACATCAATAAAAACATATGTAATTCTAAAATGCTATATATGTATATGGTTTTATAGGTGAAATAGCTATGTTGTCTAAGAAGCCAATCGTTCAAGGAAATTATTCTCTTTCTCTATATGGTTTTGGGATTTGGGATTTACTGTACCCAAATCCATTCAGACACAGCTCAATAGTTTCCAAAATCTGATTTGTAGTCACTATTTTCCTGTGTATACATTTAAACAAAACAAGATGAATGCTAGCTGAAGGAATAAATAGTATACACTTCCCACCACAGGGACACATAGAATGCAGAAGCTAGCTCAGCAACTGTACATTTAGTTCACATTAATTCTCTCTTTCTAAATAATGACTTTCTTCACCAATCACCCTTCTGGCATGGTAACTACAGTAACACAAGAAAGACTTTATGTTTAGCTCAGGCAGGACAGAAAGAAAGACGAAACTTGGAAAAACTAGGCCAGATGAAATATTAGAGCAAGTCTTCATTATTTTTTTAACAATTAAAAGAAACAAGTTTTGGTAAACACCTCACACCAGGTCTATGCAGCAGTGAAAAGAGCAGTGGCTTGTGAGCCACATTCTGCAGTTACAATTTTCAAACAACCCTGCAAACTACTATAGGTGTCATTATTCTCATTTTATAGATAAGGAAATTGAGGTTCTGAAAGGTTATGTGTCATTCGCAAGGCTACGGAACTAGTAAATAGCAAAACCAAGACTTTCCCTTTCCCCACCAACCCTAGGAGTTCCCCATCAAAGCCCACTCACTGACAGCCCCAGGACCAGCCGTTTCTGTCCTGTTCAAACTTCAGAGGACCATTATGCGCATGCTCACTTTCAACACCCAAAAAAGCTAGGGAAAACGAATGCGCATGTTCCACAAATGAAGAGTTTTGTGGGATTCCCCCCCCCCCCCCCCCATTCAGAAAGGTTAATTACGCATGTTCAATTTCAATTTATCAACTTCAGACACGTTACGCATGCTCGCTATCCATCAAAAGCTTTAGCTGACAATGCGCATGGTCTAGATTCCGGGAGAGGCTTCGGCGGGGGTTCTGCGCATGTTTCTGCCAGTACCTGGCTCCTGGCGATAGTTCTACGCATGTTCATTGCCCACAGTTTGGCTTCAAAGAATCCTGTACGCATGCTCTAGCGCTGAATTTGAGAAGCAAGTCTAAGGCCTAGGCGCAGACGCACTGAGCCCAAGCAGCCGGTGATGGCGGCAGCGGCGGCAGTGGTTGCTGCAGGTCCGGGCCCATGAGGCGACGACGGAGGCGGGACGGCTTTTACCCAGCGCCGGACTTCCGAGACAGGGAAGCTGAGGACATGGCAGGAGTCTTTGACATAGACCTGGACCAGCCAGAGGACGCAGGCTCTGAGGATGAGCTGGAGGAGGGGGTGAGGCCCGAGGTCCCGGGGGGCCCGAGGTGACAGGGCCGGGGCGGCGGCGCGGGCCCTGGAAGCCGGTCGCGTCCGAGAGCCCAGAGACCCAGGGAGCGCGAGTAGTCTCCAGGAGGAGCTGAAGCGCCGCGCGGCCCGAGGCAGGGGAGCGGGCGGGGCGGACCTGGCCCTAGGTGTGAGGCCGCTGCGGGGCTCGCAGGTGCAGGTCGCGCCCCCAGCCCTAGATGAGCGCAGCCCGGAGCAGTCTATGGAGAGAACGAGAAAGGGCGCGTGGTCGATTTCTCCAGCTGTTGGACTTGAGTGTGGCGGGCCGTGAGTGGTGTAGCGTGTGGTGGGGGAGGGGGACTGCGCTTGCTGGGTGTCCCGTAGGTGCAGGTGAAGTGCGGAAGGGCTTCCCTCCGAGTGTAAGATTTCAAGCATTAAATCTTCAGACCTCCCACAACCACCTCTCTTCTCGGCCTGTCGCTTCTCTCCTAGGAAGCGCTCAGCTGTTAGAAGTGACAGCTGAAAACTTCTGTCGGGAGTAGCGCTGCCTCTGCTGTTACAGCCACCAGGAGTTTTATTTCGGGAGCAAGGGGGCTCTGCTGCATCTTCCAGGGTTTGTTTGTTTGCTTTTTTTTTTTAACCCCCTTCCGTGTGACTTTTTAAAAAACGCATTTATAACGACACACGGTGTTTGTAACTTACTTTTCCCCCAGTTGAAGATGTCTACATTTTTTCAAAATACTTTATGTAATTTTGGGGTGGAAAAAAACCCAGCGTTGACAGCTGTGATTTGGCTTGCCAAAAATAAATTGCTTGAACGGAGACTTGTGAATGGTGGTGTGAGGGCTTTCCTTGCTGTAATTTAGGGCGCTAAATTTAGAATTGTTTTCCTAATGCATAGCTTGGTTTTACCTTTGCTGTGTTAGTAGTTTGTTATTCTTTATGGAATATCATTCAGTTTTCAAGATAAATTTATTGAAAACTCACAAATTGTACCTTAAGTTCAAGAAGGGTGTTGTCATATGACATAACAGATTCTGGGCAGTTGACCATCTATAATAACCTCATGGTAATTTAGAGTCTAAATTCCATTGTCTAGATGAGGACATGGGTTAATAATGTAAGATGTTTGCTCTAGCTACATAAGGGGCTTGCCTTTCTTTCCCTCACTCAGTTTTCTTCCTCTGGCAAATAAGTTGTGCCCTGCTTGCTGACAAAAGATTGAGATGCTACGTATAAAGAACTTTGAAAACTTTAAGAAACTAATTCGGCTAAAATAGTTCTTTTCATAATCAAATGAATCTAAATCAAAATTACACAGTTTGGAAGGTGGGTATTGAGATGTGTACTTTTTCATGTTTGCACATGGAATTTTAGTTAACTTCTTAATCGAACATGTGATACACTAATTACAATTGGAAACAAAATGGGATTACTTTCATTACATATATAATCCTCTCATCAATTATATTGGCTTCAGATAGCAGTGGCCTTGGAGCAGGGCAGGGGAGAAAACTTGATAGGAAGGATGCTTTATAAAATCTTCATTAGTTGAACTGATAGAATTTCCAGGCCATGGGTTTATCAGGAGAAGTTAAAGGAGTTGGAAGTAAAATACTATATTATGATTCCTGTTATGAACTGGAACCTTATTGGATTTTGGCCTACACCTGGATATTTGTTTTGCTGGGTATAAGCAAATGGGATTTTGAAAGGGTGTGGAAGAGGAGGCCAGAAAAATTGATGGAAATAGGAAAGAGAAAGAAATGTGGCCACTATTCTAGGGAGAGGAACTTTGGGGAAAGAGCAAAGGTAATTAAAGAGGATTTTGAGGAAGAGCTTTCAGCAAAAGATATTTTAGCAATGCTCTTAGAGTTGAAAATGTTTCTTTTGAGTGTTATTCTAAGAGGTGCCTCAAGGTGGAAAAAGAGTTGGAGTAGGATTGGGTTGGCCACCCAAGGAGATTAAGTGACATCCAGGTTCCTTTAAAATAAAATGTTAAAATTCTGAAAAAATGAGAGAAGTTTAGATTTTTGGAAAATCAGTCTTTTGTGAATTTATAATTAAGCAATATTCTGGCTGTGAATTTGTAATCTTTAGTACACAAATTTTTAAAAACATTGGTACATATTAGAGTAGCCTCACTTCTTCATTTTATAGTAAGGAAACTGAGGCATAGGCCAGAGTGATGATTGCCCAAAATCATGTAGGTAACTGGTGGTAGGTAGTGTCTTGTGACTCAGTTCAACAGGCTTCACTGTACCGCTTTTATTGCATTTACTAGTCTTGTTCATAATGTACCTCTTTGTGGTGTGTCAAAGTGAATTCAGATCCTTCCCAACTATGCTCCACTGACTGTGACCTAGAATAAATTGCTTAATCTCTCTGACACTTTTTGCTCTATAAAATGATGATTACGTTAGATAATGTATATAAAGTACTCCAAAATACCCTGGCATATTAAGCAGTTAGCTAGTTCTTGGAAATTCAGCTTTCAGTGCTCCTGATTGCCAAGGAACCAATCATTCAAGTTTACTCTCATCTATGCCTAGAGACTTAATAAATGCAGTTATTCTAGAAGTGCTGCATTTTTAGAGCTTTGTATCTTTTTTTTTAAATTAAATCACTGGTCCTATTTAGAGATATATGCCTACAATGAGTCAATCTGTATTAGTAATATGTATTTACATAGCATAATTCTTCAGTAAGTAAAAGATGAGAGTAATTTGTTACATTATGGATAAAGTTGAATGTCTGTACCTAACTAAAAAAAGACCCTGATTGAGTACCTCAGAGGACTATTGTAAAACCAGTGGATAAGAGGGTTTTGTTTGGGGGATACGGGGTGTCTTTTTTGGGTTTTTGTTTCACTGGTGATGGTATAATTTGGGGACAGTGAGTTGAAACTAAGGGAAAGTTTTCCTCTGGAGATTTTCATTAGATTTTGAAAATGTTGGAAACCACTGCTTTCTGTGAATAAGTTAAAAGAGTAATAGAAAATTGAAATGCAGTATTAAAAATCCTCAATTTTTACTCTATTAGTTCAAAATTTGAAATAGTTGCAGAACTTACTACACAAGTTTCAGATTGGGATATCAGATTTTTATTGAGCAAAATGTATAAAAAATTTTAGTGCTTTGAAAAGCAAAGTGCTATATATAGACAGTATGTATTCAGATATTCATGATTATGAAAAGTTATAGAAAAAATCTCATTATCAATGCTTATCTTGCATTGTAATAGATACTTACCATAAAGCATTTTGAAATAGTCCTAGATTTTGGGCAGGGTTTACCCATTTTTCCCAATTCATCTGAATTACTTAACCGTATAAGGAAATGTCTGTGGACAGGCAAGTGAATATAAGATTTAGTGAATATTTGGATTAAGAATATTTCACCCATTCTGTAACAATTTAATTTTTTATAAAACGGGCTCTTTCATTGGGACTTCAGGCACATTAACTTGAATTTATAAACAATTTTAATTTAAAACTTCAAATATTTACCCTGGTGGGTTAGTTTGAAACAATATATCTTGTATAGTACCTTAGATGAGCAGAATTCCACTTTGTCAGTCATAGTGGCATACAAAAAATGTATTGGTTGGCTCTTTAAGTTTAAGGCAGCAGAAAAAAAATCAGAATAAAGAGATTCTTGTGAAAAAGAGTTGTCAGTAAGTATTATATAATGTTAGTTTGATGCTTCTGGTGTGAGACTTTTCTAAAAGTAACTTTGAGTAGCAGAAAAGAATTGTGCCTCAAATGTTTCTTCTCTAGAAGGTAACAGTAGGAAGTTATAAACACAGATGCAGGAGGTAATATAGGCCTGGCGGCTGGCTCTGGAAATGAAACTAGCCATGGGGCATATATTTCTAGGTAGCTTCAGAGTCATCGTTCAGTGTTAAATACTCTGTAGCCTTTAATTTAGAATTAAATAAAACTAACATTAAAGAAATAACAATTATATAATACCAGTTTTATTATAGCTGAGAGAAGTTAGTCTTTTGTCTTTAAAGTGACGCCATGATAGGTGATTTTATGAAATATCAGAGACAAAAAAACCTTTAGCCATAACCACCGCTTCACCACCCCCAAGAATCTGTGTCGAGTTGAAACTGAGAATTTTTACCCGTGATATTGCCCCATCCGTAAGCTTCAGTCTAATACGTACATGGTGTTAGATGTCATCTTGACTTGCACCATGAGCAAGCTATAACTAAAAACTTGTGTTGTTTTGGGCATTTGAACATTCATAAGAATATTACCAGTTTTCTTTGTGTATCTTGACTGTGTACTGGTACCTTTTAAGAGAGAGAGATGTGTTCACTTAAATATTTTTTGAATTATTCTAAAATTTTCAATAAAAACTTATAAACTTCTAATTATGTAGAGCCTATTTTCAATTAAGCGATATTCTTTTGTACAAATTGAAAGAGTTCATAATCAGATTATTTTCAAGAATACTCATTTTAAAGCTATATTTTTTAATATTAATATAACAATTTTTGCTGTCA